CGCAGTCACCAACACCACCCAGCAGCAAGCCAAAGACTCTTGACTCGTGACTCGCCGAGTGATTGCACAATTGCGATCGCGAGTGCGAATCTGAATCTGCGACTCGTGACTGCGACTGCGACGAACTTGTCGGCAGTCAGCCAAGCATCTTCACACCTACACGCCACCCACAACCACTTTTGGGGAAGATTTAGCACCTTCTCTCTGGCCTCGGTGCATCGACGCGAGCGCACGTTTCTTCTTGCTCTGCCTGCCTGGCACAGGTCAACTCGATCGAAAGGTAGCGCATACACTCAGCCTACATCCACATGTCGCGCAACGACGATGATCGTCAGCCCACTTCGAGCTCGAGCCAGGAAGGGAGGCAAGAGCCGGAGCAGGCTCAGGCTCAGGCTCGGGCTCGGGCTCAGGTCCAGGCCCCGAGAGCAAGCGGATCCATTCCCGAAGCTTCCGCTTTCGATTCCAGCTCCAGCCCCAGCCCCAGCTCAAGCTCGACGTCGGAGCCCAAATCCACGCTGGCCTCGCGTCGTCTATCCGCCCGCAAAGCGCTTCGACCAACGTCTTTCAGCTGGTCAGCTCCTCAATCCCTCATGCATCCCACCGCTCCCTCGGAGCACGCCCCGCTTGCTCAACGCGAAAAATATTTCCGAAGAATCAATCGTCCAGACTTGCCCTTTGGACCTGCTCCTAACAGGAGACAACGCGGTATCGCATTGGCTGCGTATGTAATCGCTACGGCAGCGGCGGGTTACATGACCCTATTTGCAGACTTTGGAGAGGATGAGCATGTGTTCATGCCGGTGAGTTGGTTTGCGGGCTGGGCGCCGCGGATCTCACACACAGTCGCGCAAAGTAAATTCTTGGCTCACCAAAAACATCTGTGCTTCTCCTCCTCTACATCTTTGCAGATCCGACGCATGATAGGTCTGCAGCCGCCTGTAGATGCGCACACAAAGCCTCTTCGAGGTCGAAGAGGGGCGCCTGCATCATCCAGCAGCAGCTCCTCCTCCTCATCTGCTTCATCCTCAAGCTTCAGCTCGAACGTCGAACAGGCAGGCACAAACGCAGCTCCCATTGCCAATTCGCACGCTGCAGTGGATGGAGCGCTAGGAACTTCTTCCTCCGCTCCATATGCCGGTATTTTTTCTCTGCGCAAGACCCACTCCGCTCCCAGTCCCAGTCGCAGTCCCAGCGCCGAGACGGGGCGTGCGGATGCGAAAGGGCAATCCTCGACTGCTCTGGACCGGACGGATGCATTGTTGAAAGAGAGGGAGAAGGAGTTAGAGGGGATGTTGAGGAGGAATAAAGAGGGTGCATCAGGGACGAAGAGTTGGACAGATTCGCTTGTGCCGAGCAGCTTGACCGCTTGGTGGCGTGCCAATGGCAGCGGCGGCAGGAGCGCTACCGACGATGATACCAAAGATGCGTCGCCTCAGACCCGAGCAAAGGTCGTTTAGCCAGAGATTTGAATCGAAACTGGGAATCTGTGATTGCAAGGTGCGCGAGCGTTGCTCTTTCTAATAGTCAAGCTAGCTAGCATTTACATCATATCGATGCGAAGACAATGATGGGTGTGCGCATCGTATGCACACGAGGGCCGTTTGAATGTTGAAAGCGCATACTATCAGCGCATACTATCAGCTGGTCCAAAGCCAGGAGGAGGTCTGCTCAGTCAGAAGTGCTGCTTTGAACAATTCAGGCTCTTGGGTGCGTATGTGCATTCGTGATAAGAGCATGTGATGCTGACGCAGCATTGGGCGGGGGGAAGGCGCTAAGCGGTCCGAGCCGCTTTCGAACCACGCAGCACCAGCAGTCTTCCTGCTTGTGATTTCTATCCATGCTCATGCTCATGCTCATGCTCATGCTCATGCTCATGCTCATGCTCATGCTCATGCTCAACCGCTAGAGCTGCTCTCTCCACTAGGCGTAGCTTTCCCCTTCTTGGTAGCCAGATCGCTAGGCTGGGAAGAAGCGGCCGTCTTGCTCATATCCGTCTGCGGTTTCTCTCGCTGAATCTTGCCAGCTGACTCATCAGGACGCGTCCTCTTAGGGTCGTACGCTCCTTCCGAATCCGCAATCTGATCCACCTGTCCGTGGCGGTGGCGTGCGTGGGGGGGTGGGGATGCGCAAAAGATGGAAAGAAGTCAGGGTCAGAGTTGGGGTGCAGGTGCAGGTTCAGGTGCGGGGTGAGGTGGGGTGGGATGGCGTCACAAATCATGAATGAAATAAAGGATCAGTGGGGCATCACCATCACATTTTGACGAAGCTGCTTCCAACGCGCAACCCGCAACTCGCAACTCGCAACCCGCAACTCGCAACTCACAGATCCGGCTCCTGGCATCGCAGCTTCTCCACCCCCTCGATACGCATTAGAATCGAACGGCTTTTCGTCCCCCGGACCTCCGAGCCTGGCGGATGAAGTGCGGAATGTGCGTAGAGCGAGAGCGAGAGCGCCAGTGCGTCGACTGGA